TCATCCCGTCGATGCAGGACCTGTCACAACCCCCAGCCGGCCGGTCTTCCTGCGTAAGAATAACCCGACAGCGCATCGGGGTTGTGTGTTTCCGATTGCATTGAGGACCCCCAATTCCACCGAAACGTGGTCGAGCAAGCCCCGGATCGAACACCACGAATAACTTAGACGGCGCATGCGTGTATCAGAGAGATCCGGGGATGGATGCTTCGAGGCTCTGTTGCCAAACGTGGCGCCCAGCTCGTTCTTCGTTTTTTGCCAGAATACGATCTCTCCCTCGTAAATGTAAAGTTTATCCTTAATTACCTTTTCTACCGCTACGAGCAATGCGAAGCAACACGATGCCTGGCAGCTAGGCTAACTCACTAACCACGAGGCGTCCTCTCCCCTCCCCCCCAGCTCCTCTAGATTTCATATGCTAGCATGTGAGATGTCGAATGCAACCTCATCATCACTGGGCGCCCCTGCTAGCAGCGATTCTCAGCCCTGATGCACGATGGCGGAGCAGAGCAAAGGAGGGGGATTTTGCACAGCGGTGTTGGTGTGAAGCAAAAAAAAAGGTAAAACAAGCCTTTGTGATTCTCCGCACCCTGCCACAGGGCTGAGCTCCGTCTGAAATCGCTGTTCCCTTGAGATGGATCTGCAGCCGTGTCGTCGGTGTTTCGTCCAGCCACCTGACCTGCCAAAGAGTGACGGTTCAATCAATTGGGGCGCCTGGCTGTAGATCGGTGGGATCTGTGAGATAAAGATCTCAGTCCACTTTCTGCGGATGCACCTAGTCGGATCAAGAGTGGTGATGGTCAGCCCAGGTCTTCCAACGGGTGAGGATCTGCCTGTAACGTGATGGGAGCTAGCCCAAAGGACTGTAGAGTACGAACTGATCCCCCTACCCACCCATGTCCGACGACTGTCTTCGCTTAGGCTGGAGTAGGGCTGGGAAGCTACCTTGCCGACTTTGGCAGTCTGATGAGGCTGCATGAAGCTAAGATGCAAGCAGACGAGCTGAGGTAGAAAGTTCCCTCGGTATTGGCTATTCCTTGTCTTGCGTTATCAGGTGGCATCACATCATTGCTAGGACAGGACGCCGTATCTGTGAGAAGGTTAAACGACGTGATGGGAATGCAAGTGCCGAGAATAACGGGAGGGCGGTGCATTTGCTGCGCATCGTGCATTTCGGAATGGCCTCCCCTCTCCGCGCGACAAGTTGATGCAGTCGAGGCAGTCCAGTATCGAGGCAGCCTAGCATCTGCCGATCAGCCAGCGGGGTTGTCGCTCCTCCAGGAGGCAATTGTTGCAGAAGAGCTGCTAGACAAGCTCGGGCGCACTGGCCTTGGTTTCTGAAGCTGGTCTTGATTGATGGCATCATCCACGTCCAGTCCATGAGAGAGAGTTTCCAAGAACATGGATGCTCTACGTTGGCAGGTCATCAACTCCACTGCCATGCGTTGTAGGCACGTTTCAACAGCATTTCGTGGATCAGTCATTATCCCGATTGAGTAATCCAGGCACGCTGGTCAGCTGGTGTTACAGAAGGCAAAAGAAGCTGCTGTTTTCGGCGATGGGATAATTTTGACCCAGGCTGGAACAAGTGGTGCATGAGAAGTCAATTGCTATCAAGGAGACCCAGGCAATCCCCTGCTTTGTTTACAATCCCCTCCATTGGGGCATTGAGATGCCACCATCAGGTGGCCATGGATCAGTTGGGTGGTTGGCCCAGACTGGAGGCAATATCGTGGCATGTAGATGCTGTTGGTTGGAACGAGTGTTGGTCAGACCAACCGACTGGAAAATGGAAAAATGTCTCGGAATCAGCCGGTTTCCCTTCCATGGCAAAAGCTCTTCAGCGAGCCTCTACATCATTTTCATCAAATGAATCCTGCATCTCTCCCGCCGTGTGGACCAAGATGGACCGGCACCAATCCTCCTGCGCGATGACACACGGCGGACTGGGTAGCTAGTCGCTGATCACTTTAATGGCAATGCTACAGCTGTGAATAGCCGCTCGCTTCGGCCGACCTGAGCTCTGGGGCCTGGGCTAAACGATCAAATCGCAGCTCGAGTGTCGAACAGCACGTGGGTGTTGGTTCTGATCAGCCGCGGAAACGACCATCAAACAAGTGCAGTGACAGACTACATACAGGCTACATGTACCGAGGAAGCTCTCTGATGTCACGCCAGTTGGGGATTCCACCCTGCAGGAGATCATTGGCACAGTCCACCACCGGCTGGTTCGTCGATGGGGCTAGTGGGTAGGGACTTTTTTAGATTGCATTTGAATTCATGATGTATTTATATACTCCAATACATACACTTCCTTGGTCGCCTTGTTTTGGACTCAGCCGAGGGTGATGTGCGTTTGGGGGAAAGGATTGGCGGTGGTTGTCCAATTACATTGCGCAGTCTGGGGGGATAAGCAAGGCTGCCGAGCTTGGTCTTGTCTTGTCCGTCTTGTCCTGTCTCGTTTCGTCATGTCTTGTCTCTTCGGGCGTGAAAAGTGATATGTGCCATCCTTTCCCCACCTGGTCGAATCATTTGGTTTGAGCTGTTGGTAGCAAAGTGAGCCAAGGCTTGGTGGGTAGTGGGGAGAGTCTTCGTACGCTGTTGGTGTTGGCGGTGCCAAAGTCTCTACGCAAAACCGGGCCGTACTCAGGGCAATAATCTCCGCGTCCGTAAAAGATCCATCCTCTCTCCCACGCTGGTATTGAACTGCCCAAGGTCGGCCGAAGGTGGTGGCATGCAGTCGCGCGGCAAAGAGGCTCCTTTTTGACTGCGAACTCAGTTCGGCGGCCCCGGGGAGAAAGAAGCCGACGCTACAGGTGTGTGCGGTAGGCTGTAGCAGTAGGAATGGAATGAGACACAGAGGTGCGCACAGGTACAGGAAGCACGCAGAGAATCCTCTTGTGCCTGGAGGGCGGCCATCCATCACGTTCTCTGCCACGTGAGGGAGGGTGCGGCCACCGTCAGATCGACCACTTCCACCTGATACAGCGCCTCAATCGTGAGTTGACCTGTACACATCAAGCAAGCTGTATTACATATTCACTGGCCCTTCTTTCTCACTCTGATGACCTGCGCCGCCATTGGTGGAGACTGGCCTGGCTCATCCATTCCTCAGGGTCGCATCAGGCGTGGCCCTCGCCCTGGCTATTTTTGGCCCCGACACATCGAGTGCGTCCAAGAACACGATGACGCTGCTGCGACTAAAAAAGAAAAGGGAAAAGAGGCTGTTCTGCCGCAGCGGCACCAGGATGGAATAGTCATAGCCATAGCAATAGTCTACCGCTACATACCTACATGTAACTAGTATAGCGATCCCGACACGATGAATCACTTCTCACACACACACTCGTGGCCCAGCAGCTTATTTTAGCGACCTTTGCTGATCTGATCTGCCTCTCTCTGTCAGCAATTAGAGAGGTCTCGTGCTGTGGCCGTACAATCAGAACACGCCTTTTGCTCGTCCAATACGACAGATGGCACCCGACTAGCCCGCTCTCGCCCGCGCGATCGACAGATGTTGCCTCTTACGATTGAGAGATGGTTTAATTGAAGCTCTTTTGGGGGCGCGTACAAACGGCTGACGATCCTGGATGCACGTCTTCGCAGCAATTAGCCCGGTTCGGCCGCTGGTAGGTATTTACCCTCCTTTCCCCAGGTCTCACCCTCGTTTGGGACCTGTAGCCGGCATCGCCCATGTTTCTAAATGTAGGTATTCTGTATGCCATTGTTTTCCCATGGCGAAGCTGCATGTGGAGCCACTCTCGTACAGCGGCTGGAGTTCAATTCTTGCGCAACGGGTCTGGAGAGACGGACTTTCGTCCAGTAGCACCCAATAATGCTAATAATGGGTAAGAATAGATGCTATGGAAGTGTGACCAGCGCCTCGTCGCATAACTCGCAGCAGTTCGTAGCGCTGGAGGGAGGGAGGGGTAGTTTGAGAGACTCGGTCCCCTCCATAGCCGTGTTGCGTTCAAAGTACAGCCATCAAACGTTTCTATTCCAGGTCACTGGCCGTATTACCTCGTATGAGAAAAGGTTTACACTTCTACGAAGCATCATAACTGGCGTCGGGCTTGGTCAGGTCACTCTCTCTCCGAGATGCCGTCCCTGGCTGCCATCACATCACTGCCAATCTGCTCGATCCCGACTGCTCCGAGTGCTCGCTGCTGCGTGTGGCTCTGGCGGTGGCTCGAAACAGTGCAGATGGCCCGTGCAAATGGACATTTGAAATGAGTTAGAGGCGCGAGTGAGCGACGCCTGCTTGCTGGGGAGCGACAAGCACTCGCAATGGGTTCCTGGCGAGTGGTGACAGGGGCCTCGCGAAGAAGGGGGGTGCAATGCCTCACTCTCTTCCACCTCCAGTCCATGAGAGGGGTGTGTTTCAACCGGCTGCTCGCACTTCACCCCTAAGCTGGCCTGGGCGATCCTCCCCCTCCCCCTGGCTACGGCCACACCTCGCGCAGGGTCTTTGATTGGGATACCCACCACCGTCTGACGGTCGACTCGACCTCCCATCGTGGGCCTCGATCAAGAAGGTGGAGCGTGAGGGCCTTGATGCAGTGGTGCAGCCCAGGCGCAATCCTTCAGAGCGGACCACCAGACAGACCAGCAGGGGTGCCCTCCCATCAGTAGTCGTAATTACGTACCGGGATCTGCTCGCAACCATGGCCCAGGCATGTACCTACATAGGTAGATATCCAAGCGCAGCGGGCGGGAAGCTCCAAGATATAACATCTTGACGGCCCTCCCCCAGCTCCCCCGTACCTCTCGCTCGACCTAGGTGAAGGCGGAACCAAGCAGGCCATTCCTATTTCTTCATTTCAATCTCATTCTCATCGTCAGCAACAAGTCTGTTTCCTTTCTCCCATTCCCTTGTCGGTTCCCCGGATTGGATTCAGGATTAATCCAGCAACCAACAATCAATCACCACTACCCAGTTCACGCCTCAGCATCTTCCCCGACCAGCGACAATCAATCAATCAATCACATCTTGGAGCAAAATGTCCTTCACTACGGAGGTTTGGAACGCCAAGCCAAACACCATCGCGGCGGCAAAGAAGACGACAATGCCATCGTCGGCGCTGCCCCGGAATGGCGAGCTGAGGGAGGAGGATGACTGGACCAAGGTCAAGGACCCCAAGGAGAAGAAGCGAATCCAGAACCGAGTGGCACAGCGCACATACCGTACGTTCAGAGACGCTCCCACCTGGGTCCCGGACAATTTAATACTAACAAGACTAAATAGGCCATCGTATGAAGGCCAGACTCGGTGAGCTGCAGGCTCGACTCGAGAGCCACGAGGGTCGCCGGCCCAGCGACGGTACCCCCGAACCGCTTCACACCCCGAACCACTTCACTCCCAAGTCCGAAGCCCTCCGCATGGACAGCTCGCCCTCGCCCTCAATCATCGATCACAGCCACCAGCAGCCTCTTCCCCAGCTGATGGGCCAGCCGAACCTGTACGAGCAGCCCGTCGAGGACCCGGAGAACTCCATCTTCCCCCAGCACGCCATCGTCCACAGCCCCTCGACCTCGCAAGCCTCTCCCACAACCAACGGCCTCCTGTCTCCTCCCGTACACCCCGACCAGGCTCAGCAACAGGGCCAGGACGCCCAGGGCGGCAAGTACTTTGTGGATTGCATGCGATTCCAGTCACAGCTGGTCAACCGGCTCAACAACATCCCACAGGAGGCTCCCTTCCCTGGCGCCTATCCTCACACACCCCAAGTTCACAGTAAGAAGACCGACCCTGATTCCCAACTAGACTGCCAGGTGGCTAACAAGGAAACCGCTCCAGACCAGATGAACGAGCAGATGAACATGCCTTATGCTCCCGCGCCTGCCGACGGCATGGACTTTGCCTTTGACCCCTCCGTCGAGATGTGGAAGACCGAGACGCCCATCAAGATCCAGCACGCTTCTCCCGACAGCGCCTACTATCAGACTCTCACCCCCCCAACCACCTCGACGTCCACAATGGCTCCTCTGCCTACTCCCCCCATCCGCGTCCCTGCCAAGGAAGCGCCTCTCGACGAGCGATTCGAGTGCATCATGAACCAGGTAGAGGCCGCCGGATTCGACAACTTTGACCAGGTGGCCACCACCTACTACTCGCAGACCTTCAATGGCCAATCGCCCATGGCTGACGAGCAACGCCAGAGCCGCGGGCGCCGCCTCCCGCAGGTCCTCTCCGGTGTCTACGGCTCCAGCTCGCAGTGGAGCGATTGGGAGCGCAAGGGCTTCCAGGAGGAGATCCTCAAGACGGCCGAGTCCATGCTCACCGTGGAGGGAGGCGAGGTCGCCCGCCAGCACCTCGGCAACAACATCAACGCCCTGTCCGATGCCATCGATGCCAACAACGCCGCTGCCTCGTCCGACGCTCTGCTCAACCTGAAGCGCGTTGTCCAGGAGCAGGCCCCAAACACCTGGTCCATGTCAATGGCCATGGCCAGAGAGAACCGCTCTTCATGGCAGGCCGACCGCTCCAACACGGCGCTCGCCACCACCCTCCTTCTCAACTATGCCGGTCGCATGCCCAACGACCAGCTCCTCCGCCTGGTTGGTGCGTGCCTGTAGAGGAAGAGAGAAAGCAAGCAAGGAACTAGCTGGCCTTGCTGATTCTTTCCTTTCTCTCTCTCTCCGCATGCCCTTTCTTTCTCTCATGTTTTAGCGACATCTGCAACTGGCCATGATGTTTTCCTTCAGACTTTCTTCTCTCAAGTCATTGATGATACCCCAGAGAGTCTCCCCCTCCGACCAGTCGCGAGGTGCAAGGAGGAGGTTGAGTAATTCACTTATAGAGCGCACTCCATGAGGATCTATGGAGTGTAGGATCTGGCATTCTTTGAGCTGCCACCGGCGTCTGCTTTCTTTCCTTCTTTCTACATTTTTTCCACAACGGGATGGACGAGTTGAGTCTCATTTTCCCCACACTCATTTCAGCAAGCTGGATTTTTTTGCTATCTGATCATTTTTTTTTCTGGATTATGGTTCATTCCTTTCTTCTACTTCTCACACTCTCATTCATCTCCCCCATTTTTTTCTCATTGGCACTGCCTTTTCTCGTCATGAGGTGGCCAGCACGTGCCAAGTGTATGATCAGACGAATATATACGAGGCCACACGATTTGTACAAAGTAAACCGGCGTTTATAACAAGCAAAGGGAGGTTTGGGACGGGGGAAACACACACGGAGCAAAACGGCGATTTTTGTTTTTGAGACCACCAAAAAAGGGTTACTGGTCATGCTTTCGACATGGTTTTTTTTATGCTTGGAGGGATATTTCTGTTAGCTTTGATATGATATACAGGGACTGTAGCAATTGAGTCCACCGCAGAACAATCTAAAAAATCACTTGAATTATACACTTGTACGATGTCAATGCCTGTGAGAGTGATTTGCTTCAATCTTGGGAGCCATGAGGCCACATTACTCAATTCGTCCTGGGAGGAGAAGGATGAGGATGAGGAAGGAGGATGGCCTGGCTGAAAAGTGCGTTGGCAATGACCCTTTGAGGCGCATTGCTCAATCCTGTGCTCAGACATGGTGGAGCTGTGTTGCCGTCGGCTGCAGAGGAGAGGTAATGTTTCCTCAGCCAATTCCATCTTTTCCCTTTGCGCATTGCGTATTGATTGACCCGGTGTGAATCAGACCCAAGACACTGCCAATGTCGCAAGTAAGAGTGCCGTCCCGCGCAGCTGGTCATGGAACTCGGGCCTCCAACTCGTCCTGGTAGATTCAGTTGTGTCATCTGCGGCGCAGAGAGGAGTGAATGAAGAGGAATACTCAATGGATTCAATTACCCACGACATGACATTCATCCAGCCATCCATCTCGTGCCATCGCAGCTCCGAGATGCTCCTCGCCCTTGCAGCAATGGATCCATGTGCTTACAGGCATGAGATGCGCTGTATTTACTGGCTGCTGCATGAGAATAGGCGATGGATGTCACCAGCTTTAGCGATCACGTCCACCCGAGCTGAGATTGAGGTAAGACATCTCCGCCGCCGGTTCGACACCATGAATTAATTTATTTATTTCATGTTACATAGGTCCATTTCCATATTCTCTCCTTCTTGTATCCTACCTCCTCCCTCGCCCGCAGTCTCCCTCCGGTAGCGAGCCCGGCTTCTTCGCATCCTTGAACCAGCATCTCAACCGCAAGCTCAGCTCGTCAACAGCCTGCATCACGGCCGCCATGTTTCCCGGAGGCCCGAACCCCTCCAAGATCCAGAGCGCGACTGGAGGCTCTCTGGCGCCGCTCGTTCTGATCCACGACGGCGGCGGCACGACCTTCTCCTACTTCTTCCTGGGCAACCTCAACCGCGATGTCTGGGTCATCCACAACCCTCACTACTGGTCTGGCGAGAAGGTCGAGGGCGGCATCGACGCCATGGCCAGGAGCTACATCACCCTCATCCGCAACGCGGGCCTCCGTGGCAAGATTTTCCTTGGAGGTGGGTCGCCAGTCTCTCCTCAGCCTCCCCTCAGTCGCAATGGCTTGCGGATACGAATCCTCGCCCCCTCCTCAATCCATGTAATGTCATCATACCGTATCTGACCCGAGAGCACAGGCTGGTCGCTGGGCGGCTACCTCTCCCTCGCCATAGCCCGCATGATCGCAGACGACCCGACAGCCCTCTTCAGCGTCCAGGGGATCGTCATCATCGACTCCCCATTCCACGTCCCCTACGACCGCCTCAGCTCCCCCGTCATCGACCCCTCCATGGACGACCTGCCCAAGCTGATCCAGACCTGCTTCGCCCACTGCGACGACTACCTCAAGGACTGGGAGCCGCCCGCCTTCACGGCCCCGACAAACGGCGGCCAGCCGCTCCCCATCGCCCTGGGCCCCGACATGTTCCATCTCCAGCTCAACCAGAGCCTGTACCAGCCCCTCACCGGCAAGTGGGAGCTGCACCAGAGCAAGCCCTTCACGTTCCAGGACCCCAACCCGGCCAGCGTCGTCTCGCCTCCGCCGACCGCCCTCATCCGGTGCACCGAGAAATCCCTGGCGCTGCAGGGCGATCGGGTCCTCTGCACCGTGGATCTGTATCGCAAGGAGGAGCTGCTGGGCTGGGGCGAGGGGCGGTATCCCGACTTCATCAAGATCGCCATGGATGTCGAGGCGGCGCATTTCGATATTTTCGATCGGGAGAACGACAAGCGGGTAAGTGGACTGTCTTGTATTTCTTTGCATTCCCTCTTTCCCGACATCACATCACATCAAACATTCAGGTCTGTCTGGCGATTTGTGCGGCTAACATATGGGACAATAGCTGGAATTGGTAACAAGCAAGCTGGACATTGCCCTGCGGGCCTTTGACAGGCTAAAGTGAGCAGCGAAATGACGAGGCGCGAGGCACGCATGTCCAATTAATTGCCAACCGCAGGCTTCTAGTTGGATAGGGTCAAGTTTGATGGAAGCCATGCGAGCGGGAAGAGCGAGGATGGCACACTAGCTCTATCGACGGCGGGAGCATACTTTGTCACGGATGGGAAAAAGCGAAGATAGATGCAATATAGAGATAGCTACTATGATGAAACCGGCGGTAAAGAAAAATCTACCAAATCCTCCAATTGCCCGTGTGGATTTCACCCAGCTCACGAGATGCCTCACCTCGAATTTTTGCTGTACTAGCCAGGGACACGGCCTGACTCACGCTGCTGTCCCAAGAGGGCGCCGCCTGAGTCCCCTCATTTGTCTCCATAGGGGGCTGCTCAAGTTCCTCTCAGATACCCTCAATTTCATGTGTCTCTAGAGGGCGCTGGCGTCGTTCCCTCGATCGCTCCAAGTCTGCTAGTTCCATCCATCTGTTTCCAGAGGGCGCCGGTCAGCACTGCAGCTCCAGTGGCCCTGAGCATGGGGCTTATGCGGCCGTAGTGGCTCTCCAACCGGGGCTGGCATATCTCAAAGCTCCGCTTATGGTTCAACCGCAGATCCAGAGCTGCGAGTGACATGAGGTGTCGATGATGGCAGGCTGGCCGGGCAGAAGTGATGATCCTGGGATTGTGAAGGAAGAAGACAGAGAAACGCACCGTATGTCTGCCGTGAATGGGAGAGACGACGAGCCCGGCGTCCGGACTGGCTCCGGCAGATTGACCTGCCTGGTTCGGGGACTTCGGTGCCGGAGGAGGAGGCGAGCTCGACCGGCAAAGGAGTCTCTTGTTCTTGTTATCTCAGGGCTTTATCTTTCCGCGTTGTATTGCACAAACCCATGCCCCGAGGGCTGCCATGCGAGGGGTCAGTGGTCCCTGGAGTACCAATACATAATGTGGCCATCGGTCCCTCAAGCGCTTGCATACAGACAAGACACTGCCCTTTCACCTCTCTAACAGGCACAATTTCTTTCTCAACTTGTTTCTAATAATCAATCCACATTCAAAATGACTGGCTCGCGCAAGATCACAGACTACAAGGCCCTCACCTTCGACTGCTTCGGCACCCTCGTCGACTGGGAGTCTGGTATCTACAACATGTTCCAGCCCCTGCGCAAGCAGCTCCCCGCGTCGCACCCCAACCACGAGGACCGGGTCTACTTCCTCAAGTCCTTCATCAAGAACGAGGGCATCGTCGAGCACGCGAACCCGACCGCACTATACCCCGACGTCCTCGCCGACACCTACCGCGCCGTCGCCCGCGAGCTGGGCCTCGACCCCAGGGACGACGACGCCAGCGCCTTCGGCAACGCCGTGGGGGACTGGCCCGTCTTCCCGGACACGCAGGAGGCCCTCAAGCGCCTGCAGCGGCACTTCAAGCTCGTCATCCTCTCCAACGTCGACAAGGCCTCCTTCGGCCGCGCCCTCGCCAACCAGCTGCCCGAGATCCGGTTCGACGCCATCTACACGGCGCAGGAGATCGGCACCTACAAGCCCGACCCCAACAACTTCCGCTACCTCGTCGACCACTGCGGCAGCGAGCTGGGCGTGGAGGCGGGCGGCATCATCCACACTGCCTACGCCATCCCGCACGACCTCGTCCCCGCGCACAAGGCCGGCCTGGCGACGTGCTGGATCGAGCGCGGCGTCGAGTTCCCCGCCGTGTGCGGAGGCGCCGACAACAGGGAGGCGTATGCGCACGAGTCTGGCTGGGCGTGGCAGTTCAAGACTATGAAGGACATGGCGGACTACGTGGACTCTCTGTGAGGACAGGGCCCGGTGTAACAGGAGCGGAGGGGGGCGCAAAAGGATTTACTAGAGAGGGAAACTTGTGCATTGCATTGCATTGGGCTGGGCTCGGGTTGGGAGCGGCTACATGATGATGATATTAGCGGGCATCCTGTATACAGAAACTTTAATCCTGCATGTTGAGCAACGGAGCATTTTCTACCATGACGCTTGACATGAGGACCCGAGATGAAGCTCGGATCTACGAGAGGAACAATGGAACAGCATGTGAATATCCATGATGCATCAATGAGGATGTGCCATCTCCGCGGGAAGCAACTGTGCAGTGTCTCATTTCAGCCCACCACGGTGCTCGAAAGTGAGGGGAAGAAGCATGAGCAGCGCCTTCGGGTAGGAGACCTCTCCCAAAGGAGACTGTGATTTATCACATCTCCACACCGGTCAGTACAGAGGTGCTTCCAAACGGACTTGGCGCTCTCGCGTGGAGGTTCAAGTCCCTCGAGTCATGTGGCACAGAACAATGCGCAGTCGAACATATTCCGTCACTCACACTGACATTTCGGGCTGGGAGCAGAGAGCATGCATCACAAGAGGTGGGGAAAAGCCAGATCCGATGGCAGGGTGCAGGACCGGCGAACTGGTGCATACATTATGTATGGTCGTATGTATGCCTCGTTCTGGTAGACCGGTTCACACCACCTTGCGATGGAAGATGGCCACAGGTTAAATCCCGCCACCGCCATCAAAAACCGCCGGTAGAGAGACTGACACGTGTGTTATTTTGCGGCCAGTCTTGATTTCCGAGAAGGAGGGTCGCCTCATCAACAAACCTGTCATTGTGACAGAAATGTGAAAGCGTGAAAGGCGCTCCCTCACCGCCCAGGCTTCGACGCAGATATCTTGTCACATCTCCCTTGCATATTTACATATTCTAACTTATCACAGTTGTGGTTTTGAGACACTACATGTAGCTAAGCAAGCATGATGTCGTTGTCGGTCGGTTGTTCCCCCGTAGGAGGCGGACCGGACAGTGTTTCGCACAGTGGGCCGTGTCGCCGGCCAGGCCCGCTATAAGGGATGTGCATTACCATTTGGGCAGCTTAGGGCTTTGCAGCGGATGATGACAGCGAATGCTCGTCTCCTACAGTGTGTAAATGCAATTAAAGACACAGTATTTTCCAGCACAGCTGAGCGCTATATTATTGCAGATTACAGCGGGAGGCACTCCAAAACCACCTACAAGCGCTTCTCTTACAGCGCATTACAGGCTCCAGCGAGAAAGGATCAGTGAAGAAGGGCCAAGTGAGTTTGTATTCAGTGAACATGAAGCTTTGTAGATAACAAATGTCTCGATCCTCCAAATCAACGAGGCCCTAATGGCGTGCTTTGAAATGAAATATCAGTCTCATATAATCCCAACCCATGCAAAACATACTTTCACACCACTGGCTGAAGAAAACCATAAGTGTGTGTTTATCCAATCTGTGAGCCCAAGCCGTAAAATCCAAACTTAAGGAGAAAAGGGGAAGCTTTTTGGAAAGAAACGAGTGGCAAGGCGTCTGGGGAAACGCGATGAGTGGCATTCATAGTTACCGGTATTCATAAAATCGTGAGACAAAACGACCCCTGCGTCATGTCGTGCCTGATGAGCGGGGGAAAACCGAGGGCAGGCTGCGATGTGCACCCCTACATCATGGCGTTGGGGACAAAGAGAGGAATCTCCATCGGCTTGTCCTTGTGAGGGCGAGTCGAGTCGATCTTGCCCGAGACATGGCCAGGGACGGTGGGCTTGCGGGTGAAGAGGATGATCATGTCGCGGGTGGCGTCCTTGGCCGTGTCGTCCTGGTACACGGGCGACAGGCTGTGCTTGTACTCGTGGTCGACGACCATGAGCGTGTCGAGGAACTTGGTGTGCTGCACACGCCCGCGGATGTTCTCCGGCTTGGCCTCGTTGAGCTTGATGCCCGTCGTCTCCTGCATGTCATGCATGAAGGTGGCCGCGCTGTCGGCTCGCATGTTGTTCGTGGCCAGGAGCGTGGTCAGGGTGTGGTCCACCCCGTCAGCGTGGATGCCCTCGAGGGCGGGCTCTCCAAGGACCTCGTTGTTGGTGGTGGTGCGGACGGTGAAGAAGGTCATGATGTTGAATGGCTGGTCATAGTCCATCTTCTCGCGGTGGGCCACGTTCATTCCGTGCACAATGATGCTCTTGAAGACGAGGATCCCCTGAGCCAGGGTGTTATGCTGGATGTTGTTGTCCAGCTCGTCGAACCGCCGGAGCATACCGGAGTCGTAACGGTCAAAGTCCTCGCCGACGGACAGAGCAAAGGGCTGGAACTCCAGGCGCTGAACGGTATTCTTGGTATAGTCGAACTTCATCCGGCCGTTGATTGTCTTGCGGTAGGGCAGAGTCGGGTCCCAGGTCAGGCTGTCACCAACATGCTTCAGAAGCTCGTAGTCTTGCATGGTGCCGCCGAGGCCGAGAAGAATCTCCGTCATCTCCTCACCTGGGACAAATATGTAGCGGTCCTCGTGATACTTCTTGCGCCAGGCCATGGTCTTGGCGATGGCCCGGTAGAACTCGGGCTTATACATGTGCTCTCGGATGTTCAGCTGGCCCTTGGGGACGGGCACGCTGGACACGCCTGCCGCGGCCGAGGCAGCCACCTCCGGCATCATCGGTGGAGGAGGTGGGGTCATGACGGGCTGGGTGGCGGCGTAGACGGCGCTGGCCTTTGTCGACTGATGGATCAGACGCGCATTCTTGGTGGTGATCCCCCCGACAGCCTTGGTGGCCCGGAGCAGGGAGGATGAGGCACGGAGGGCCCGGCTGCTTGTTGAGACAAAGGACATCTTGGGATATTTCTTCTTGTCCTCACAAAATGAAGTTATTTGCCTGCTTAGTGTTGTAAAAAATTATGTTTCTTGTAGGGATGAACTACTATCGAGGAATAGTAATGAGGACAAAGTGGCTCAGGATAGCCGTCAGGGTGTAATCAGAATGTTAATGAGGCTCAGGATAGCCTTTGGGGTCAGGAAGTTGAAAAAGAGAAACAGGGAAGAGAGTTCTTCCAATACTTGGGCTCAGGATTGCCGCAAATATTGTCAATAAAACTTGGCTCAGGATAGCCACCAGCAGAGCAGGACGCTGGTTAATGTTAATCCCCTGAAGCAAGACCAACGATCAAACAACTAATTTGTCTGTTGTTCGCTGATCCTCTCGGGGTGGTAGCAAAGAGAATTGTAAGAATCAGAGTCAAAAGTATCTGTCTGTCTGTGTGTATCAGTCCAGATGCTAACGGGTAGAGAGAGGAGAGGGAGAGAACAAGGTCGGGAGAGGTGGGATATGATCCCAATTTGTAATTCCTCCCATGGGTTGGGCATCTCCCGGTATTCCATGAAAGAGTTTTCTGGATTGTCGGTCTATACCCGGTACGTCCCTTGGCCAAGGGAATGCATGCACCCATTACAGACTCTCTCCTGCGTGCACACACACTATGGATGCACGTTGTGTAACTCGTAACTTGTACACTTCAAAACTGTAATATTGGATGAGCCGAGCCTAGGCGAGTATTCACGCATGGGCGGGTCTGATGTCAGACACGGTCACCATTTTTGGTCCGTCTGACGGTTCCCAACGCGTTCCCGTTATGCCTGAGGGTGGTGTCGGCTCGATCAACGAAGACGACAGGTGAGAACGATGGGCAGGGTGCAGTGGGATGGTGTGATTGGCCTCCGTAACCCTCTGCCGTCCCAATTCAGCCGCGTGCAGCGTTTCCCACAGGATTTCCGCTTTGGACCTGACTTGATTTCAAAGGTGGCGATCCGAGAGCCACCCTGTCTTATACGGCCGGTGACGTGACATGCCAGTACTTCTTAGGCCAACCAGCCTTCCCCTCTTGGACCGATGTGTCTCCCTAATAGGACCGGAACTAGGGAATAAGCTAGGTCCCGAGATAGTTTTGTGCTTGGAAGCTTCACGCCTTATGGCTACGTAATTTTTTGAGACCTTGGATGTACATGGCCTTTCCCTGGTGCCTTGTGCGAGAGTCGTATTCTCGGATGGAGGCATATTTCAGGGAGCTGGACCGAATTGATGGTGTGAAACATCATTGCGCATGTCTTTCATTGCAATGTATGTATTGCCGTATGTGCATCCAGTTGCGGGGGTACCATCGCAGGCGGCCTCACCAATTAGCTCTCCAGTCCAGCCTGGAGAGCATAGAATACTGATCTGTGAGTGGTCTCTGCTAATGCCAGGGTGCGTCGTATCCATCCATTCATTCCAGACAAGATGTAGGTGCACGCACACACACCGACCGTCCTGAACGCTGAGGGCATACAGCTTGGAGGAAGGCTCATCACTTCTCACATGCATATTTGGAACATACATGTGCATGGGGTTTATTGTAGGCAGCCATTGTCTTGCACAAAAACAAGGGCACAATATGTTCCCGATGCCGGCTGCGATACTTGGCAGTATCTTGGACCCCGTTTCTCTTTCGAACCCAGTCCAATCAAACCAAAGGGGAATGATCCTCAAGAAAACTTCCTTCATGGGTAAGCCGATGAGGAGATCTGATTTAATATGATTAAATGCACCTTTGCTTATGCGCAGGCCCGTGGCTGCCTGTCGTTGGCGGGACATTCAATACAAATTTGTTCAGCACTGTTTTGTGACCATATTTTTTTTAGCGTAGTTACTTGTGTGATTCTGAAATGCCGAAGCAATGGTTCATACCTCCTCTGCCGGTGTCGAGGCTGTCCCTCTGCCGAGGAATGCATGTGGAGCTCCTGACCTGGATGATATTGGCCGGTTTCCCTCTAACTGACTTTCTGTCCATTCTCCTCCTCCTTCCTTCATTATTTCTGACTTTCAAGTGGTGACTCTTTGGCTGGAGCTTGTTGTCTTTCTAATCATTAGCACCCATGGTCCAAGAAGAGTGTCAGGAATGCTCATAGGGCAATGATGTACATGAGATCGCGCCCATCGTGCTATACCTGCCATGGACAATTGAGCTGCGGGATAGCTATTTAGTCCAGGCATGAAAGTGACATACATGCTTTGGCCTAACAAATGGCTTGCTCCCTTGCATGAGACAGCAGCAGTAGTAAATGGCGGTGGCCATGCTTCCAGCCTTTCCTCCACAACACGCAAGCATGAGGCCGTAAGCATTCAGTATCTCGGGGGATTTCCATTCATGCATGGTGCCTAGCAGCACCGATGATCGATCTATATTTTCTAATTGGGCATAAGCGGCCGAGATGGTGATGATTCTTGGACTCCCTGGTGGGATTTGCAGGCCCATGTGCAGGAATACATACATAGGCTTCGACTCGATGTAGTACAGACCTGTAACTTGCATCTGTAGCGGCTCCGCAGCCTCCGCTCATGTCTCGGAATGCGAGTGCCTAAGATTGGGCAGTGCTTGGCAGAGCCGGATGAAAGTTCTCGTTGCTGACAGGGCGTTCCACCAAAGCATGATCGGGTTCATGGGCATCGGCGGAATACATCATCCAATGAGCAAATTACCTTCGTTCGGCCCAGAAAGTAAGCCTCCCTGGCCGTGTGATGAGTTATGGTACCGGGCCCGAGTCGAGCCCCCTATCTAAAATCAACTCGGGATGCTTTTCCACCGCGTGCTCCAGCGTGATCATACTAGCATTCTACCGGATGTCTGGTGATCTCTCTTAACGTAAAATGCGCACCGAGCCTGGAAACAGTGCCTAGAAGAAGAGCAGAAGAACATTGCTCAGTAAGCACGGCACGGTGTATGCTCCCCTCGCTGCACTCAGCTCCATCTATCCCCTTACCCCGCCCCATCTTCTCCCTGTATGTATTGGTTCGCTGCACGGTGGCTCCAGAATGCATGTCCCTAGAAGGCGCAGTGTCTCGAGCAAGTCTTGCGGGCGGTGGTGGCGCCTTCTCTGTACATAGCAATTGTCCATCTTTCTTGCCTATTTCAACGTCATTACGCGTGCTTGAGCAACCTGCACGGCATATTTCAAAACCTGTGTTGTGTGCATACGCAATAAATCTGCCATTTTGATTTGATTTGATTTGACTGAAAGGCTGTAACCATACATACGGATATCAAATGGCTTCCTCATCCACCACCACAACCATCCGAGAAACGGCCCCTTCCGTTCTGAAGCTTCGGCCTGATGGCGTTTCCCAGAGCCAGCCGCAGCCTGTCTTCCCACCCGGCACAGCACTGGCTGATTTGAGCCGAGGACCAAACCCTCTGACAGGTATTCCCGTATTCGCCTCATTCGGCGAGCACCGCCGCCATATTGCGTTGCATATGGCAGCCGTCTTCCGCAACTGGGCTCGAGTCGGTTTCACTGAGGGCATCTCTGGACACATCAGCGTCCGGGACCCTGAGTTCCGCCACCTCATCTGGATGAACCCCATTGGCAAGCACTTTGCTCTGCTCAACGCGGGAGACATGCTATGTGTGGACATCAACACTGGCAAGATCGTCGGCGGCAACATGGTAAGTGTGCCCTACATCCGCCGAAGCGACGAACTGGTATTGACGACCCTCTCCAGAACCGGCCCTTGAACAATCCTGGCTTCTTCATCCATTCCGAGATCCACAAGATCCGTACTGACATTAATTCTATCTGCCACGCTCACACTATCGCCGGCCGCGCGTGGTGTGCGTTTGGAAAGCCTCTTGACATGATCACCCAGGACATCTGCGACCTCTACGGCGCACTCGCTGTTGACAACGAGTACCTCGGCATCGTCACGGCCGAGCAGGAAGGCCAGAACATTGCAAAGGCTCTTGGTCCCAATGGAAAGGCCGCGCTCCTCATGAATCACGGCCTTGTCACTGTTGGTCACACTGTCGATGAAGCTTCGTTCCTGTTCGGGCTTGTCGATCGAAGTTGCGACATCCAGTTGCGCGTTGAGGCTGCATGTGGTGGTAACCCCGAATTGAAGAAGCAGATCATCAGCCATGAGCTGGCTACTGCCAACGCAAAGATGACAAATGAGAAGCATTGGCTGTATGAGGAAGCGCAGCCGGATATCGAGCTTGAGATTGAACTCGGCGCAGACAAGATCACGAGCGGCATGGAGAATATCAGGCTTTACCCGGAACTGATGAACCAGGCTTGATTGTTTCCTGTACATGAATATCAGATGATTATAATTTCATTGTTATAGAGAACCCGATTACTTATATTGTATGTTTTGAGAGGCAGAGGATAGAATCATCAATTCGTTTCTTGTTCCTCAGACAAAAAATTGTAGGTTAGTCAAATAATTCATATTGTCAAAGTGAACGGAGCATGTGCATGATACAAGTTGAAAGACTGTAAGACGAAATATAACATTATTTAGTATTAATCATATATCCCTGTTGGGGAAAAAGGCTTCGCTAGAAGTAATTCTTAGTATCCAACATCATCAATCCTTAACCGCGTGAATCGCTTGGGGTTTTTTTCCCTCGGGCGCTTTTTTATATTACCACACTTTCTAGATGCAGATTTTGGATCTGTTGAAATGAATGTTGTTCCATATAGATTTCAGCGAGATTTGTCATTGAGTCTCCTTGACTTTCTGTCCTTCCATCTCGATAAGTTAGCCTTCTTGACTACAGAAAGGTGAGCATAAATAATAATATTCTCCCATCTAGCTATTGCTGTCTCCAGATTCAAAGTAAATTAAGGCACTACCCTCCAGCAACGGATTCTCCTGATCATATTCTGTTCCCAAACGTAGTATAGAATATTTATGCAACGAAATAAGGGTAAGAATCCGATGATTTGCATCAGTTCAGGGTTACTAACGTCGATTTGTAGCATGTGGCCAGTGTTTTATTATGTGCCCGAAACAGTCTATACTTTCCCTCGATGTTCCAATCACTTCTGCTATTTCTCGATTCAAAGCGATTTAGATTCTTTCATCAACTTGAAGAAGAAATCGCCGTATATTGGCAATGGAAACTTATTACCAAGAATGGGTTCGTGTTTCTGACCAACCCCCATGGAAAGATTTCCTCCACCCGATGTCCCCGACAATCATTGATGAGTTTCAAGGTACTTGTTGACAACTATCATTGTATAGTTCAATGTGGCATTAATTAATTCTAAAACTATGGTGCATACATATCATATATATCGTGGTTTCTTCCAGGGCCTCTATCTCGAACCTGGTTTATTACTATGCTTGCTCCCACCTTCTTGGTTATCCTCGGCGTACTCGACATCAACCGTCACAACTGTCGTCTGCAAGATGGCAACCTTAGGGCTGCCCCCTGCGACCATGGCTTTCTCAGAATCCGTATCCCCCCAGCCACCAGTATCGCCGGGCTCCCCGGCAGTGATCGTGTTATTACTCGTGCCCTTGACAGCCCCCATGATGTAGGTGTCGGTTGCGATACCGCCTTCTTCCGCATCAAATTGAGAATATTGTGTCCGATCGCGGCGAGACTGGGATTTCGGAATAAAAGTCCGGCTAGGTGGGTGGGTGTTCTCGTTCGTCTTCGTCTTGGTCCCGTACCTCGAAGTTCCCAGTAGTTTTGGAGCGACGTGTTTGAAGAATCTTCGAAGAGTCGGTAGTGACGCACACATTATCATCATGTACCCTTCTACTTGCCTGTCTTTGCTGTCAGTATGCCCATGACTTATATCCCTGGGTATCATGTATGATGGTATCTAACTTACGTCCAAATACTGGCGTTTCCAACCACCCAGGTCACATCAGGATCCGTCAACATCCCCTTGAGAATCGAGAGTCGAACAATTGAGGTGATGATTGTGAGCGACCCGATACCAAAAATAAACGCCAGACCAATCTTTTGCCGCACGGGGATATGAAGGCTGATGACCATTGGAAGAGGAAGGACAAAGAGCACAATATCGCTGACGATGTTCGTGACAGCAATCATCATGTATACGGCTGGTCGATTGATACAGTGTCCCGCAACTTCTGGGTCCCAGCTCATGTTGATCGGGGTACAGGCAAATATCAACGCCAAGACGATCGGGATTGTGTAGCTTGCGATGAAACCGATGGCGATCCAATTGGCGATCCTGAACCACGTTTGCGGAGAAAGTCGAAGGTAAAACACTAACAGCGACAACTTGGCAAAGGCTCCGCAGATTGGGTATAAGATGGAGGCAATGTAGACGTCCTAGAGGTCTCTTGTGAGTATGATATGCCGTGGGTGCATCGAAAGAGGGTAGTTGTCGTACAAGCATGTATTTGTGGAAATTATCCATCGAGACTTCCCAAAGATGGACACCACCTATTGCGGAAGAAAACATGTCTAAAGCTCAGGCTATTAACTTCAGTAACAACCAGGAAAGGAGAATGATTAACCATACGCAGAGTAAATCCGGAGGTAGCGAAAACCGTAAGCTGTGAGATTGATGTCAGTTTATCGTGTTGAACGTTTTTACCGGTGGGAGAAGTTCAAGAGTATCCAGGAACAGGCTCTTTTGTCGAGGGGGCTTAATGGGTTTGCTGAAACATACCACTGCCAGTATGAGGAAAACTGCAACGGAGTTAGAATACGTATTAATCATCAGGTTGTGATGCGAGGGAGACACCGTTGCTTCATCCGTCGTCGGTGGGGGTGTTGCAAGAGGGAAGGTAGAGGAATTCAAGTGTAAAACCAATAAGAGCTTGGATTTATAAAACATACCATCGTCAAGTTCAATGCCTGTAGCCACCACAGCCTTCACATACATACGCTGAGCGAAGAAGATGAGAGATAGTGATCCCATAAACCCAGCAACGTAGTACACAGAAGGCACTCCAGTCCTCTCCGGATTGCTCAGGTCTACCACATAGCCCTCCGGAGCAGGCATGACCATTCTCACTCCATCGATTGTTGTCATTTCGACGGATTAGACGGTTGAGGACATGCAGACTGCTGCGTCCCTCCAAGACAATGAGAGCACAATTGTCGACCGAGGTATGAAAAAGAAAAGAAAAATGCACGAAGCAGGCGTCGATCGCTTCAAGAGGAACCAGCTAATGAAAAGTGGAAGGGTGGCTTTCTGGGGTTTTCTACTCTACGACCCCTTTCCTAGCTAGCGGAACAATGCTAGTGCATAGGAGGATAGGACAACGACGGTTCGTACAAGGATAGCGATCAGCCGCCTTCATGAAGCCTAGCATCTGTTTCCCACGTTTTAGACTGCGACTTGGGGAACGCCTTCGCTCCTGGGCACTTGGCAAACCACCCCA